CCGTTCACTAGGACGTTGGACACCCCCTGAACATGAACAGCTAGGAGAGTCAAACCCTGAGAACTCAGCAGATGAGTCACCTGAAGCGACCAGCCCAAAGAGCCAAGGACCACAGAGAACCCCTTCGGTTCAAACAATGAACCACCTGGGAGCAGTTCGAATGGAGCCGGATCGTTGATCCGTGAGCGACCTGAATCCTCCGTAGCGACAACCACACAGTCGCGAACTCCCGCACCGTACTGTGCGCCCAACAGAAGAATGGAGTCCACTGCCCCAGACTGGACTGGTGAGCACTGGTCACAAAGCCCCAGCCCAGAGACGAAGTGTCCATGAACACATCGAGCGAGGGCTCAGGAAGGTGCCAGGTCACTGAACCCAAAAAAACCCAAAGAGGAAGGCGGCGATGCAGCAACTGGGGCAAAACCTCGGAGGCTGAACCCAGCAATCGCAAGAGAGGCGGAAGGGATGGCCTCGAAGGAACCAGAACAGCCGATGAAGCCACACCCGACCTGGTGGGTAAATCAGCGCGGCAAAGTTCAAACTCCCAAACAAACCCTCGAGCAACTGTCAGGTGACCCGGGTGCCCTTACAGAAACAGACAAAGGCAGGACCGCAGCTGAAGGAGGGACTCCGGAGGGAGAGACAAGGAAGTGATCCGAGAATCCCACACAAGACCCAGCCAAGACCGAACCTGAGAGGGAACCAGACGGGACTTCCGCCAGTTCACCAGGAACCCGAATCCAGCAAGCTGGGAAAGAACCAAATCCCTGGCTAGCAGACACATGGACCAACTGGCCACACCAGCCAGTCTTTAAGGTAGGCAAGGACCCAAACCCCTAACAGATTCAACCGGGCCACCAGAACCCAGGTGAGGCATGTAAACATGCGAGGTACCAGATTCAAACCAAATGGAAGGCAAAGAAAGTGGTACCCCGTGATGTCCCACAACAAAACTGAGCCAGTCCCTAAATCCTGGATGAATTGGGACATGCCAATACGCATCCCGGAGGTCCAGGGACACCATCTAAGCACCCAAAAGAAGCTGGACTATGACAGGGTAGTTATCCGAAAGGAGGGGCAATAGACCCAGGGGTTCAGACGGAACAAGTCTAGAATGAACCGGAGGTCTGCACAGTCCCGTTTTGGGACTGGGAACAGATGGGAAATCCACCTAAGGGACGTCGTCGTTTTGACTACGTGCAAGCGCACCCACTCTGAGACGACCTGACAGCGCAGGAGAATAGGCCTGCCCCTATCAGCCCTGAACCCCTCATGGGAGGAGGTTCACAGGCCATCGGAAACGAACCGAAAAACCCACAAATCTTGAGTCCAGGGGACTTACATGTATGAGGCAGCATGTGCGTACCCCCATCGGGCGAACCGCAAAAGGGCCAGTGCCTCTTACAGGAACTCGACTTCCGAACAGAACGATCACCCGCCGACCAGAGGAAGACGGTTCCTGAGGTAACACCCCACCCTAAAACTGGCATCACCTGCCTACAATGACGGAAGGCACCGTGAGCCCCGGCACAACCCTTCCATGAATAACCCCCCCCTCCTACAGGTACCCGGAGGACCAGCATGCCTGACGTCGGACGACAAGAAGGCAGAAGCTGCCTGCATATACTGCGCAACTGGCTGCTCATCAGACACCAAAGGACGAAAGGGAGATGACAACCTAAGAGCCAGGGGCCCAAACAGAATCCAGACAAAACCAGCACCACCTGCCGACATGCAAGACAGGAAGTAAAAAACAGAAACACCGCATCCCATAGAATCGGCGCAAACAGCTGCAACAGAGCAGACGACATATGAATCATCAAAAACAACACGTCCGACTCCCAGCACAGCGCAAAAGCCTCCACATCCTCCTCAAGCCAACCCGAGGATAGCTCAAGAAGGGAAAGGAACTGCAAAACAGAGACCAAGGAGCCAAGAGTGCTCACGTCCTCAGCAACCAGCACAGCTGAAAGGGAAGGAACCTGCACATGAAGCTGCTGCACAGGTGAAACCATCAGAATCTCCTGCCATACAAGTGTGTGGGAACAACAGAACGTATGCCAAGCATTCAAAGTAAAGAAGGGACAGTTTGCTAGCCAGGATGACTTAGGAACCTCATAAGGAACCCAGAAAGGGGAGGAAACCCCAAACCTGAATGAAACAGGAATCAACAAAGAGGCGTAATCCAAGTCATGCAGGAGGTAAGACGCGATGGCCACCCGCACCTCATGCGCCAGGGATGTGGGAAGCCGAAAGATTCCGGAAGGACGGCACTGACGAACCAGAAGGGACCCAGAACCAAACCCAGGGAGGGACTGACACTATATCCAATTCATACGCAGAAGGGGAAAAGAAAAACCCCCTCCAAAGGATACCTGATCAACCAGGCTGTGACTCGTACGTCAGGCTGCGAGCAGCCGCGTCCAACAGCCTGGTTGATCAGTCCGGCAACCAGGAGGCCTGGTCGACGACCGGGCCGCGGGGACGCTAAGCCCTGGAAGCACCTCAAGGTAACCTCAAGGTAAGGTAACCTCCCTGTAACAACAAGCCCTGCTGGGAAGGAACAAAACCCCAAGCAGAGTCCAATGGGCCTCAATCCCTTCTCTGCCCCAAAGGCCCCCGTCGCTGGCCTTGGGGTTGAGCCGTCCTGTCCCTCCAAGACCCTGGCCTCACAAGAAAAAGCTGGAGTAGCCGTAAAAGCAGGGATAGAGGGAGCCCACTGGTCAGACTCAGATGCCCCAGCAGGAGGACCCGGCTCAAACGCCTCCGTCACCAGCCCGGAAGGGGCATTCCCAGAGACTGCCTGTGTCTCCACATCATCTAAACCCTGGACTGACTCCAAAACCCTCAGATGCTTCGGAGCCCGAACCAGAGGGAGGGGGGGGGGAATGAAACACAGAAGGGGAAGAGCGAGGGGGCACGGACGGAACCAAGGTCAAAGTGACCAAAACCCCCAAGTCCGGGTCCCTAAAATCAAAACAAGACAGTCTCGAGGCTTCCAGGTTAGCAGCCAACCAAGCACGTCGAAACAACCTAAATCAAGGTTGCAATGACTGAGCCACTTATACCCGAAGACCCACTTCAGAGGTCCAGGTAACCTGAGTTACTAACAAGCAATAGAGCTCGCAGGACTCTGGGTTGAAGGTGTCACCGACCTAGTAGGCAGCAAGACGAAGGCAGAAACAATGACTGTCCCCTGGAGACATGGGAACAGAGCAACCTTCAAATTCTCACAAAACGAGAGGAGACTCAGGGTACACATCCATTGGACCCAAGAGGCCCCGTGGGGTTTCCCAGTGCCCTTAGCTATTCAATCTCTACTAAGGAAAGCCCGGGCAGGGCACTACTAATGGGCTTCCAATATTACCAAGCAAACTTCGACTGCACCCCCAAAAACGTGTACACTCACGGGGGGCCTAACAGTGAGTACCACCAATTTACAAATATATAGAGAGTGTGTGACCCAAGCCCAAGGGCAGACCACCCCACCAAGTCAAGAAACAGAATGAAAAAAATGCAAGAGGACAGCTCACCCAGAGGATCCAGAGCAGGCTGCTATGAGAGGTGACATCTAGCTGTGTAAATACCCTGCACCCCTATCAGTAACAAATGCTACCCCCTACCCAGAGGGAAACAGAGGAGCAATAACCCCACAGATGACTCCAAGGGCAGACAAATACTGAGCAGTAATTGACACAGTGAAGGCAGCCCCCAAGGTGACTTGAGGAAGTAGGCCCCAAGCCCCAATGGCAGTACTTACAGGACGCTTAGGGAAAGGGACTCTTAAGTGCATGCAGCCTCAGTACTTGTGAATATACTCCCAACTTGCACACCACCGAAGCAAGAACAGTGGAGAAAATCCGGAGCTGGAGGTTCACGAGTGAAGCCCACTGACATCTGAGGGTCAGGTCCCAAATCTACACAGTAAAATAACAACGTACTGGAGTGAACGAAATGGAAGAAAATGCAAGATTGAACCAGTGAAGAGCAGAGGTGCCATAGGCACAATCAGAGAGCACTGTATAAACATCAGAGGTCCGCGGTTGTTCAACGTCCTCCCAGCGAGCATAAGAAATATTGCCGGAACAACCGTGGACATCTTCAAGAGAAAACTGGACGGTTTTCTAAGAGAAGTTCCGGATCAGCCGGGCTGTGGTGGGTACGTGGCCCTGCGGGCCGCTCCAAGCAACAGCCTGGTGGACCAAACTCTCACAAGTCGAGCCTGGCCTCGGGCCGGGCTTGGGGAGTAGAAGAACTCCCAGAACCCCATCAACCAGGTATCAACCAGGTATCTGCCAAGAACTGTCAGGCTCGGGTAGCCACCTGCGGGTCTGGGGCTTCCCCTCCTGTGGAGAGGGGGTTGCGCAGGCAGCGGCTTGTTGGTAATGAGATAGCACCATGTTCATTTGCTCGTTTTTCTTTATGGAGAGTTCTGTCCACTCGTGCGGCATTTATAGTAGCAATTCTTCATCAGAATAGGGGGGTGGTTTGGGGCGCCTATCTTTCTGGGTGCCCGACTCAGTCGATAGCAGACATTGAGTACTTCTAAACCATATATAAGGTGTCTCTATAGGCCATTACTCCTCGCGCCTCTCTGAGGGGGGCTAGGTTCTGTCTCGTGGTCCCCGGTAGGCCTAGAACTACATTGACTGATGCCCAAAGCTATTACTTCCATATCAGCCCGATAGCTCCAAGGAGCCGATGGGGCTTCCCCCAGAAAGATTTTTACTTAAAAAAACTAATATAAATACAGGACTGTATTTTTGATCCAACATCATTGTAACAGAGTATGGCTTATGTTATTTATTTTTACTACATTATAGGTCTATCAACTAGATTAATTTTACTTCTAGATTTCTTAACCTATTATCTTATCCTGTATTGTCACAGTCATTTTGCTTTGTTTTGTTTTACTTTAGCTATTGTTTATTACTTCTGCTCTATCTAGTACTCAAGCTTGCATTGATTCACAAGCTAACTTACAAGTGTCTTTTTCCCAGGGATGGAGCAATTTCGGTGGTGAAGATTCTCCGTGTGCTTCGTGTCCTCAGGCCTCTCCGTGCGATCAACAGAGCAAAGGGTCTCAAGGTAAGATCTAGTGGCCAGTGGCTTAGGGGTAATGTTCTAGAAACAATGACCTTTATGAATTGTATATATCTTGGGTAAAGAATTTATATCAGAAGTCAGAGTAAATCCATGATGGAGGTTCAGTTTTGAAGTCTATATAAGATGAAATTGTTTTTCCATACAAAACACAAATCATAATTATTTAAGGTTAGCAGAGGCTTTAACCATTGCACTGCTCTGCTTTTAAAATAAGATATATCTGTGGTGTGTTGAAAATAAAGTCTTTCCAATAAATTATTTTATCTAATTATATTGTTAAAATGCAGTCTCTGATCACGGGAAACTAACAAAAAATATTTATGGGACATACTTTAGCACCGATGGAACTGGGAAATTGAGCAAACTATGAGCACTGAGCGATGGAGAGCTCGGGGTCAGTCTGCCTGCCACCCTGTGAGGCGGCTGTTGCCGCGAATATAATGTTTTACAATTATTTTGAGGTTTCTCATGCATTTGTTCTCTGCTTTTTTGCTGTAATATTATTCAAAAGTGTGTAATTTGTAGAATTTATGTAGTTCAATGTGTCGAACATCGCTATGCTCAAAATTATGGGGCTCATATATGTGACATGTATATTATATTCTTTGATCAATCAAACAGTATTTTTGTTGTTATTACACTTTATACACACATTGTATATACATAACTATGTATGTGTTCACCATAACGAAGCACTAAGTTGGTATGGTGAGCCCAAAACAAGAAGAGTGGGTTGCCACACCCAGTCAGCCCTCCCACACTCCTTCAACACCTAACTCGCCAGCATTACTCCTCCTACAATACAGTTTGTGGTATTATTACACTTTATACACACATTATATATAAGTATCTACATGTTTTATTCACCATAACTGTACAACTAAGCCTGTATGGTGTCCAAACAGCATAGTGGCTATTGAATGAGAAGTCACACAGCAGATGACAGCCTCACTCATTCCCTCACCTAAATGGCTCCTCCCAACATTAGCCTCTTGCTGTTATTACACTCTATACACATATTGACCAAACCACACACTAGAAAGTGAAGGAACGACGACGTTTCGGTCTGTCCTGAACCATTCTCAAGTCAATTGTGCACTCTATGCATATGTTATATATAAGTATCACCATAGCGAACCACTAAACTGGTATGGGGATTCCAGACAATAACATGTTGCCACACACAAGCCAGCAGCCGATGCCACCTCTCCCTCCCTCCTTCACCAACAATACTCCTCCCACCGCTAATTCATATCTATAATTTTCACCACAATCCTGTTATTATCAGAATCCTTGTCACTGAATCATGTAAAATTAACACTTTGGCGTACCCAGCGCGCCACCCCTCAACTGTGCGATTTGGGTCCCAGAGTTTCATGAAGCATGCGTTAATTCTGAAAAGTGTATACTCTCTTCAACTTTATCACCTCAATTCTCGCCCTACGAGATTAAATTTGGTATCGTTGTGTTTGCAATAGAATTCTCTACAGCACTAAATGCATATAAACTCCAAAAGCCCGGCTAATTACCCGCAGCAAACAGAGAAAGTGCGAACGAGTTACCCAGGAGCACGCAAAAGCGATAAAATGTGTTCACTCTTTTCACTCTGGTCCCCTCAATTTTCGTCCTAGGTCTTTCATTTTGGTATCAATGGGTTTACAATAGAATTCTCTAGAGGAATATTAGCATATAAAATAAACAAACCTGGTCACGCTCCACCTGCCGACGAGTTGAAGACGGGCCACGCGTTAACCGCAAGTGAGCGCCCAGACGCCTTCCAGCTACACTCCCAATTCCTGCCCACAAATGTTTAGTATTTAGTATTTTAGTATATTTAGTACAGTATTATAGTTTAGTATTTTTTGTGTAGTAGTTGTACATCACATAAGCATTGTAGATAGCCATTTGCACAAAATAGAAGGTCATTTTCTTTGGCCATTTGTGAGTTTTCCTTATGAAGTGATAATATTTGATCATTTGGTCAAAGTGATCAACACCTTTCATGTTTGTATTGTAGTCACAGATTGCATTCGGCTTGTTGACAGTTACCAAACTGTCCCCAAAAAATCAGATAAAAACTTGATTTTTGGCAATTATTTTAGTGGACGACGCAGCATTGCGTCATCCCCGAGATTACCGACAGTAAACGGATGACACAATGCTGCGTCATGCCTGGACTAAAAAGTTAATTAATTAATAATTTTCCACATGATTATTTTGTAAAGAAACATGAGAAATCATTTGAAGAATTTTAGATGGACAAAATAATGGCAGAGTACTGTAGCTAGCTCTGTGAACATTTTGAACAGCTTTTATTCACTGATATCTGAACATTGTACACAGCCTTTATTGCATTGATTTTGGAGTCAGGCTCTTCTGTAATACTATCATGCTAAATAATACCAGATACATATTTATTTGGACATTTTTAGGCGATGTTGTGATCAAAAGCTGAACAGCAATGCTGGTAGCCTATGCTGCATGCACCAGCCTTGGTTGCTCACTCAGTAATAAGGCCTTCACACCCGGGAATGTTGCTCACGATTTAAAAAAAAATGGCGTCTGTTTAGGAGAGCCTTGTGAAAGCTTATGTGAACCCCATGTAGCCGCGGGAGTTTAGAATGATACGCTATACAGTACCTATAAGAGCCCTGAGGCAAGTTGCGCACCACCCGTCGAGAGCCTAAAGGCACATTGTGCAGTGCAGTGGTTAAAGTGAATTGTAGGTAGCAGATACCATGTAACTGATAATTATATTGTTGCAACAACGTCTGCACTCTTTCACTCATTATCAAAATGTTAGGTTTAACCTTTAAGCTGTGGATATTGTCAGTTGTTGATTCACAGTCATATAAAGATTTAAGCAAATATTGTCTGGGTTTTACAAGTTGGAAGTAAATAAGGGTATAATAGGTCTATGTGGATGTAATGGAGTTTACCATAGCCCATGAAAAAACTCCTGCTACCATATCATTGTACAAATGCAGTTATCGTCATGAATGTTACTAGGGGAATGTGGTCATCGTCATATGACAATTTAAACAATTATTGTCAGGGTTTTAAATGTATGAGGCAAATATAGATATAATAGCTCTCCTGTGCATGTAAATGAAGAAAAACAAGTGATAATCAGTGAAACATCCGAGGATAAAACAGGAAGCATTAGCGAAGTCGAGCAATGACCAATCATTGATAAGTACCAGACGCAGCCTTGCATAAAAAACCTTTGGTATCATTGTTTATATGTCCAATATAATACTATGATACTATGCAATTCTCCAACAATTGAAACTAAATATTCACTCATTTCATATTTTTCTTACATTTTGCATACAAATTAATAATATCAACATGATTTTTTTTTTTTTTTTAATTTGTTATTTTTTTGTGTGTAGGGAGTATGACCATTTCTCCATAGCCACTGTCAAAGGGTTAAAAACAGCAGACCCTTGCTGTTTTCAGAGATTACATTTGTGAATTATACACAAATGGTAAAAACCATCAATGTTAAGTTAACACTTTCGTCCGGGCATGATGCAATGCTGCGTCGTCAGTTTACTGTCGGTAGTCCCGGGGATGACGCAATGCTGCGTCGTCCACTAAAATAATCGCCAAAAATCAGGTTTTTATCTGATTTTTTTGGGACTGGTTTTAAAATGCGCGCCTATCGTGATGGAGCAACCTCAGTGCAGCAGGTAACTGTCAACAAGCCAAATGCAATCTGTGACTACAATACAAACATGAAAGGTGTTGATCACTTTGACCAAGTGATCTAATATTATCACTTCACAAGGAAAACTCAAAAATGGACGAGGAAAATGACCTTCTATTTTGTGCAAATGGCTATCTACAATGCTTATGTGATGTACAACTACTGCACAACAGATAGAAGGACTCCACTAAACATATGTGGGCAGGAATTGGGAGTGTAGCTGGAAGGCATCTGGGAGCTCACTCGCGGCTAACGCGTGGCCAGTCTTCAACTCGTCGGCGGGTGGAGCGTGACCAGGTTTTTTTATTTTATATGCTAATATTCCTGTAGAGAATTTTATTGCAAACCCATTGATACCAAAATAAAAGACCTAGGACGAAAATTGAGGTGACCAGAGTGAAAAGAGTGAACACATTTTATCGCTTTTGCGAGCTCCTTGGTAACTCGTTCGCACTTTCTCTGTGCGATGAAATCATTCCGGTCCCAAAAGAGCACAGGTGCTCTTTTGGGACCGGAAGCCAAACTGGCAGGGGCTGAGTATGTCGAATTTTACGAGGTAGGAATAGAGCTGTTTGTAAATAATTTTTCAAATATTTTTGATAGAATGGGTAGATTTGATATTGGTCTATAATTGTTTATGTCTGCCGGATTGCCTCCTTTATGGACTGGCATTACTCTTGCTTTTTTGAGGATATCAGGGAAGGTGTGACACTATAGATTTGTTGAACAGTAGGGCTATGGGTGGGGCAAGGGCATGGGATTGTTATTGTCAATCACAATATATTATTGTGAACATGTTATTGTCTGGAATAACATACCAGCTTAGTGGTTCACTATGGTGAACACAAATGTAGATACAGTACTTATATATAACGTGTGTATACAGTATAATAACAGCAAAAGGCTTATGTTGGGGGGAGCCATTTAGGTGAAGGAATGAGTGAGGTTGTTGTCTGCTATGTGACTTGTCATGCAGTGGCTACTATGCTGTTTGGACAGCATGGGAGCTTATTAGTATAGTTATGGTGAATAAAACATGTAGATACTTATATATATATAACATGTGCATATAGTGTAATAACACCACAAACAGTATTGTGGGAGGAGTAATGTTGGCGAGTTAGGTGTTGAAGGAGTGAGGGAGGGCCGGCTGGGTGAGGCAGCCCACTCTTGTTTTTTGGGCTCACCATACCAACTTAGTGGTTCGCTATCGTGAACACATATGTAGACAAATATATACAATGTGTGTATATAGTGTAATAACAGTAAAAACACTGTTTGATTCCTTATAGAATATAATATATATGTCGCATATGTGAGCCTCATAATTTTGTGCGTAGTGATGTTCCACACATTGAATTATATAAATTCCACTAATTAAACATTTTTGAATAATCTTATGTTAGATTAACCCTTAAATGGCATCTGGCTATTTAGCATGTGTCACCCACAGGCGCATATCCAAAAAAAAAAAAATTATTATTATTTTCTTCTAAACCTGTTAATTTGTATTTACTGATCATGCAAAAATTAATAAAAAAATCGTAAGTGGCATATATTGCCCGCTATAGGGCGGGGAAGTCTAGCAAAAAACAGGCGCTGACTCAGCGTGTGTCCCAGACGGTCTGTTGCTAGCCAGCCGTCAGGCCAGAGTTGCCACAAAGCAATAATTATAATGTCTCTAATTGATTTTTCATAGTTTTTTTGCTGTAATATTATTCAATAGTGTGTAGTGTGATATATTTATATAATAAAATGAATGAATCATCATAAATGCTGTACTCAAAAATATGGTGTGCATATTGTTGATTCAATTATGTTCATCAAACAGTAAACAAATACTTTGTTGGTTATTACACTATATACACAGGTTATATATATAAGTATCTGCATGTTTTGTTCGCCATAACGAACCACTAATTTGCTATTATGAGTCAAAAAGTAATGAGGAGTGACCGCCACACACCAGTCAGCCACTCACTCCTTCAACACCTCACTCGCCCACATTCTCCTCCCACCATACTGTTTTTGCTTTTATTCACTATATACAGACGTTATACATAAGTATCTACATTCGTGTTCACCATAACGAACCACTAAGTTGGTATGCTGAGTGGCAGTGGCAGCCCGCCACTGGCTGCCACTCCCTCCCTCCCTCACCTCACCTGATTTGCCACCATTCTCCTCCCACCATACTGTTTTTACTTTCATATACAAACATTATATATAAGTATTTACATGTTTTGTTCACCATAACTGTACATCTAAGCATGTATGGTGAGTAAAGGCACAAAGACGTAGTTACTCACACAGTCAGCTGGTGGCGGCCGCCCTCAAGGCCAGACGCACTAATATTTCACCTCCAACAATACTGCTTGTGGTATTATTACGCTATATACACACATTATATATAAGTATCTACCTGTTTTATTCACCATACTTGTACAAGTAAACTGGCATGGTGCCCAAAGACCATAGTGGCCACCAGTAAACAACATGATAAGTCGTGCAGACGACGCACCTCCCTCATCAAAATGGCGGCTCCCAAAACCACTAAACTGGTATGGTGAGTGCAGTCAATAAAAGATGGCCACACACAGTCAGAAAACGACGCCACCACCCTCCCTCCCACAGCATTACTCCTCCCTCCATGGAGCACAGCGCTAAATATCACCACAATCCTGCTATTATCAGAACCCTGGTCAGTTTTATCACAGTCAGGGGGCTTCTGTAATAATATCATTGCTAAATAATAGCAAGAACATATATATTATGGCATTTTTAAGCAATGCTGTGGTCACAAGCTGAACAGCAGTGCTGTGAGCTCATGCTGCATGCATCAGGCTTGGTTGCTCACTAATTACGGCAGAGAAAGCGACATTGCGATACCCGTGAGCGCTCTTGAGCGCTCAGGTTACCCAAGCGAAAATGTGTATACTCTTTTCAAAGTTGTCACCTCAATTCTCGGCCTAGGTCTTTCATTTTGGTGTCTATGTGTTCGCAATGAAATTCCCTACAGGAGTATATGCATATAATGTCCAAAACCAAGGCGCGCCCTTCCTGCAGCCAAGCCAAAAGCAGGCCAAATTTTAAAATTTTTGACGCCATACTGCGTCGTTACTGCACATTCGTCTACTAAATTTTTGATGGTATATTGCATCATCAATGAGCGAAAGTGTTAAACATTTATTTTTTCTTATGTATAGAAATCTATTATGTATAGAAAATTATGTATAGAAATTGTAAAATCTATCAGTATTTTGACACACAAATTTATTGTTTACTATAATATTCATGTAATTATGTGTATTTTGTTGCAGACTCTATCAACTAACTATAATAAATGTGATTTTCTAAATCATTAATTTATTTTAATTATTTGCTACAAATACTGTTGGTCCTTTCTGTTTCATCTGATATGCAAATTTGCCTTAAATGAATGTCAACTAATATTACCAACATATGTATCCATTATTAAGTTTGTAATACTTTTCTATTCTTTTCTCCCCCTCGCTCACTTATGGACTTTGGCAACAACTCTGGAACTTTAGCATGTAGTTCAATGTGTCATAGTTGCTATCAAGACCATCGGCAACATCATGCTGGTTACCTGTCTTCTGGAGTTTATGTTTGCAGTAATTGGAGTTCAGTTGTTCAAGGTAAATTTATTGAAAGATTGAGTTGCTTTTTTTGCAGCTGATATAGCTGGGTGCTCATGAATTTCAAGGTGAGAAATGAAAACAACTAATGTCTTCTTTGAATTGTTTTTCTTCATTCTCGACTGCTTTGAAAGAGCAATTATAATATTTTTTAATATAATGTTCTTTATTAATTCATATGTTCTCAATAGTTCAATAATAAAATTTGTATCCATGGAATTATTAGAGTGTGATGTTTAGTAACAGAAAGTTATAATAACTATGAACCCTTAGATAACCTGCACGGACTGTTTCTGCACCTTAAAATTCTGAGTACAGTATATCTATCAAATGGTCCCTTGATCCTGTATGTATGTTTGGAAAGTCTTGTGCTGCACTCATTTACCAATTAAACTAAAAACTAAAAACTATAAAGTTTTTAGTTGTCTCAGAAAACTCTAATGTTGGTAAGGAAAAGCTAAATATATTAAATGAGAGCTTTCTGCATATATTGAGAATGCCTTGGAACTTAAGCTTAATTTGTGAATTTTTAGTTATTACATTTAGATCTTATGTATTACATGAGGGCTTTTAGCTTCACATAATTATTTGCGAGAGACAGTATCCCAGTGCCTTTGTGTTGAAACCTTTTATGGCATTAGTGTTTATCATTCAACTACAGTATTGGTGTAGTGAACCGTATTTCTGAAATTGCTACACATTTCATTCACTAAACTCATTAATTTAATGGAATGTTTTACTTATTTTTAACTATATTTGGCATACATAAATTCTTGTAAGTATGAATTAACAATATTCTTGAAGTTGCTTAACTGTTGAGTCATCACAAATGACAATAATGTTTCAGAGGTGACTATTAAAAATCTCTTGCTTGGTGGTAGTAAAAAATATAAAACAATGAGTGAAATGCTATAAAGCTAGTATACAAACAAATCATTATACAAAAAAAAAATTTTTCCCTGTATCTCATTATGAAAAAGTACCATGCTCTTAAATTCTTAATGCACGGGTAGTCCCAGTAACTAGAATATGAGTAGCTTGTGATGAAAATACAATGTATTGTCTCGGTATCTTTTAGAAGCTGTCAGTACTTACGATGTGACTGTATATTAAATATTTACAAACATTTTAGGTGATTGCAAGTGTTAAAAACTCTTGAAAGTTCAACAAATATATACCATTTGACTGTAAAAAGTATAGCAGTGGCCACTTGCTTGCATTGGTAATCAAAATATGTGAACCAATATGTGAAATACTGTCAGGAAGCATATACAAGTAAGGATGTTAGAGTCAAATGAAAAAATAGAAATGTACGCACAAGGGAAAAGACAAAGAATGTGAGTGCAGCTGAAGAAAAGAATCATCACTGGGGTCGAGATTTTCCCTATCAGAGTGTTTTAAATTTTACTGATGCTTAACTTCTGTACTGTGCCCACCATGATATCAAGGGGAAAGGGGGTGCCCACCCCTACATATGATGTTTGTTAGTATATCACAAGATTGAAAACTCCTGTTGGTACTCCAGGGCTCACATCCTGTTTCTCAGGATTCCAGTAAACAGACTCCGTTTTGAAAAAAAAATCATCTGCATCCTTCCTGGCTGTGAGTGCCTCACTACTACCAGAGTAACAGGTAATTATGTAAAAAATGTATTTGGGGCAGTCCTCGTCACATTCAGCTGTTGGCCGCTAGGCTGACCTTGGATTCTTGTTCTGTATATATAAACTCTCAACACATGATTGTTGTGGTTCATTATAGTGCATTATAGTAATGTAGATAGTTACAGTATCCACTTGATTTGATGACCTATATGGAGCTGTACCCGGGTCGTTAAATCCGGGGTTCCGCGAAATCCGGAGTTTTTTAAAATATCGGTAACTGTTTAGTCATATTTGGGAGAGCAACAAGATGGATGGTGGGTGGGCAAGTGGGCTGGCTGGCTGGTTGGATGGATGAAATGGTAACTGGCTAGCTGGCAGGCAGGCAGGAGTGGGGGGTGGGCAGGTGGACTGGCTAGTAAGAAGGCAGGGTGGGTAGAAAGACTGGTGGCAGGCTGGCTGGCGGGTGGGGTGTATGGATTGGTGGCTGACTGGTGGGTGGTTGGGCAGGCAGAGTAGGCAGGCAGGCTAGGAGGGTGGGTGGTGGGGGGGAAATTGGGATGGCTGGCAGGTAGGGTTAGCAGGAGGGTAGGCGGAACCGAGTGGGTGGATGGATGGATTGCTGGCTGACTGACTGGCGGACTAGCTAGCAGGCAGGTGAGTAAGCTGGCTGGATGGTCTGGCGGGATGGACTAGCTGGTTGGGCAGTTGGGTGGGGCGGGATGGATGGGTGGGTAGGTAGGTGGATGAATTGGTGGCCAGCTGGAAGGCAGGCTGGGTGGGTAGGTGCGTGGGTAGGGAGGATGGCTGGGTGAGTCCAGGTAGTGTGGATGGAAGGATTAATGGCTGAATAGCAGGCAGGCTGGCTGGGTAAGTTAATGGGTGGGCAAGCTAGGTGGGTGGGCTGGTGGGCAGGCAGGCTGGGTGGGTGGGTTTTGGGGGGAGGGGGCAGTCTTTGGTGAGTTTGGGCTGGAGGTCTTGGGTGGGTTCGGGCGGTTAGTCAGGCTTGGGTGGGTTCGGGCGGTTAGTCAGGCTTGGGTGGGTTCGGGCGGGTAGCCGGGCTTGAGTGGGTTTGGGCAGGCAGGTAGGTGGGATTTTTAATCAGGCTTGGGTAGGTTTGGGCAGGCGGGCAGGCAGACGGACTATCACAGACTGGCTGTGGTTATGCCACATCTTCTCTGCTCCTCATCCCTGCTACATCTTACCACCCCCCCCTCCCCATCCCCACACTGGACCCTCCAAGAACTATCTCCCATCCCTCTAGGAGTGTGTTGATGGGTATTAATACAGTTCAGATTCTCAGCTACCTTCCTGCCAGATGGTGGCCTTGGAGGCAGACTGCCCTGATTGACTGCCTTGACTAACTGACTGACTGCTCTGACTGCCTGACTACCCTGACTGACTGACTGCTCTGACTGACTGAATACCCTGACTGACTGACTGACTGTCCTGACTGACTTATGTACAAGAAGGTCCATTGAGTTTGTTAGAGTACATAACGTTGGCATTCCGTAAACTTCAGATTTATGTTGTTTACAAAGTGTGACTAGTTACTACCACAACTGTGAATGCCTAACTGCCTTTGACTGGTTATGACTGACTGACTTGTGACTGTGAATGGCTGCCTAACTTTGGCTTGTGACTGAATGCCTGACTGAATTTGATTTGACTATGGCTGCCGCTGACTGGTTGTAACTGTGACTGGTTCTGACTACATGCTGCATAACAGAAGCAGTGAAATCTGTGAAGGGAAAATGTAAAGTAAAATGTAAGGGAAGGGAAAATCGAGTGGATACTCTATTTAAGAACCACTATAGTGGTTTTTACACTATATATTCTGTATATAGTGTAAAAACAGCAAAAACACTGTTTGATCTTGGAATATAATATACATGTCACCATATATGAGCTCCATAATTTTGAGCATAACAATGTTCCACACATTGTACTATATAAATTCCACAAATTATACACCTTTGAATAATATTACAGCAAAAAATCTAGAGAAGAAACGAATGATTGACATTTAAATCATTCTGAAAAATTATATTCATGGCAACTGCCGCCTCGCGGGGTGGTTACCTTGCAGTGATTTTGGGGCTTAGTGTCCCTGCGGCCTGGTCCTTGACAAGACCTCCTGGATGCAGGACTGGTCAACCAGGCTGTTGGATGCATATGAATCACAGCCTGGTTGATCAGGCATCCTTTGGAAGTGTTTATCAAGTTCTCTCTTGAACACTTTTAGGATTCGGCCAGTTGTGCTCCTTATGTGTAGTGGAAGTGTGTTGAACAGCCTCGGTCAAAAAAATCAAATTAAAACAAATTCAAATGTTTATTCAGGTAAGGTACATACATACAAGGTGTGAAACAAACATTGATGGATTTATAGATTGAGCTAGTACATACAATGCCTAAAGCCACTATGATGCAAAGCGTTTCGGGGAGGAAAATCACTAAAGACTAAAACTTAATACTAATTGAGATTAAAATATAAATTGTGTTGAGAACATATACAAATAAAAAAAGGGGGAACATGGCAGAAAAATAGCAAAAATACAATTTGGTCGACAAACAGCATTGTTTAAAAATAGCAGACATGGGTTGACATTTTAGGGGAAAGGTAGGTTACAGGGAGTTAATTAGGTAGTGCTTAGTTTTTATCTTAAACTGGTTGGGAGAGGTAGTCTTTAACATGATTGGGAAGGTCATTCCACATTCTGGGTCCCTTGATTTGTAGAGCATTTCTAGTTTGATTAAGTCGTACTCTTGGAATATCAAAAAGGTATTTGTTTCTGGTGTGGTGCTCATGCATTCTGTTACAACCTTCAAGGAAACTTTTATTAAGGTCAGGACTGACATTACAGTTCAGCATTTTATATATATATAATACACATGAGAGGATGTGCTTAGACTTAATATCTAATATATTCAGAGATTTGAGTAGGGGTACCGAGCGATGTCTGGGGCCAGAGTTGGATATTGTCCTAATGGCAGCTTTGTGCTGAGTAATTAGAGGACATAAATGATTTTGGGTAGTAGAACCCCAAGCACAAATACCATAGTTGAGATAAGGATAGATGAGGGAGTAATAGAGTGTCACCAGGGCAGGGCAAGGTACATAATGTCTAATCTTAGAAAGATTGCCAACAGTTTTTGAAACTTTTTTTGATATATTTAGAATGTGTCCCTGGAAATTCAGCTTGTGGTCAATGAGAACGCCAAGGAATTTGCCATCGAAATGTTTTTGTTTTAAATGTTTTTTTTGTTTTAGTTTTTTACCATGTGGGGTTTGTTTTGTTATGCCTACCTTTCTGGGTGCAAACCCCGGTCGATGGCAGATAAGGAAAACCCCAACCACAAGGGGGTTTTCCAGGGCCACTGCTCCCTGAAACATCTCTGAAG